TTTTGTAATTTCCTCTTTTTTTTTAGATATATAAATGAGATTGTTTTAATTAGGAAATTGTTTTTTCAGTTGAAGTAAACACGATTTTTTCACTAAAAATCTTTATCTTAAGCCCAAGAGTTGCTGGGCTGATTATTGGGCCCCAACACGCTCCATCAACATTAATTAAGAAGTCCATTCTTTTATTATTTTTAAAAGTGGAAATTACACCACACACCTCGATTTTTTTTTTTTAAATTCATATAATATAATACAATACATCATTTTTATTTCAAAAAATATTGTAATAGCATAATAAATATGAAATCTCTAAAAGTACTTCACTCAATATAATTAATAATATTAGACGCCATTCATTGCTCAATCAGACAAGGTGTCAATTAACCAATTCCTCCCTTCTTGCATGAAATCCCCAAATCACTGCAAATACATAATTACAATTGTCCTCAACAAAATGGACAATATTAAAGCCCAAAAAAATCACCATTCCAAATCACAGCTCATTTGTTTGTTAAACCAGTGGCTGAGGAACTTCATTTGGTATGTCTAGGATGTATTATGCAACGATAGTGACGAGAAAAGAAATGCACCGTTTCATTGGCTGTATCACAAGTGTGGCTTTTGTGGGTCTTATATTACCAAAGAAAACAAGGTTGCGGATATCCTAATTGTTCGACATAATTAGCTATCGACGGGAATTACATTCCTCTGGTTACCGGTGTTCGTTGATAGTTTTGTAATTGGATTGAAAAAGTTTAAATCTTATATTCTACTCTCTTGTCATCTCGTAAATATTCAACATTTTCCAAAAAAATTGGCATTATTCTATTGGAAACAGAATAGATAGAATTGATCTCCAATTGCTAAATAAAGAAGGGAGACTAGTGTCCATTCAGCTGCCCTTGTGCCTATTTGCTAATTCATTGTTTAGTCAAAATTGGTGCAGCTGAAAAACCAAATAGTAAAATTTGCAATAGTCCTAGATTTCTCCTTGATGACCAGCAACCAAAAGTTCTAATACACTTAAATGTAACATAATATTTCTTCATTTTGATATGCTCAAATGTAACATAATCTTTCTTCATTGGAGATACGAGTGTGGTTTGTACGTGACCAAGTATGCATAGTTCATTATCAATGACACGATACATCAAATGCTAGAATTTTTTTTTGTCAAAGTAATGCCAAGAGAGACCTCGCTTGTCAAATATACGAGTATGAAAATGAGAAGATCTGCGAGAATTTCAAACGGATGTTGATTTCGTCCCAATGAATGTACGGAAGGGCAAGAATGCAGACGATAAGTAAAATGAAAAAATAAAATAAAATAGAAGCCCACCATTGGCTGATGCATATTTCATGATTTTGTGATGTCTGTTTACTTTTGATATAATAGTGGTAACCTCGTGCTTTTAAGTCATTGTGTTTAGTTTGATAATGTTTGGAAAATTTTGAATGTATTTAGTTTAGTTTATTTTGTGTTTAGTTTGTGTTCAATATTTGTGTTTTGTTTTGACATCGTAGTATGATGAACATATGTCTTGGAAGGAGATGTATGCGACTGAAAAGTGGAGAAGAGACTATGAGTACCTGTCATATGATCAATGACACCAGAATCAATGACCTGCAGAAACTGTAATGATCTGCTCAGAGGATGAGATGGGTGTAGCAGTTGTAGCTACAACATGAGCTGAGTGTGACTTCAGAGATTTATTGTGCAATTTTCGGCACGTGCGTTTGGTATGACCCGACTCATGACAGTAGTAACATACAACTCTCCTTTCATCCTGACTTTGATTCTCTCGCCTACTTGTACCCCCGCCTTTTGTATGACCTCTATTACTGCGACCGATAAGAGAACTAGAAAATTGAATAGATGAAGCAACATAAGTACTAGTATTTGTGTGAAGTACTCTAGTAAAGGTCTCTCGTAGAGATCAGCACTGGAGAGAATCTGGGACTTAGCAGTTTTAAACTGAGAATTAAGACCAGCTAGAAAACTCATCACAGCCATTTGCTCCCGTTGAGCTTGCTGAACTTTCATATTAGGGCTAAAAGGTAACAAGACATTCAATTCTTTATAGGTTTTATTGAAATTCATAAAATAAGCATGAAGAGACCGATCTTGTTGTTTAGCACTGTAAAAACCCTAACAAACTTCATAAATACATGAGGTATTCCCTTTCCCAAAGTACATAAATTCTAAATATTCTGTCAATTCCATAACATATTCACAATAATTAATCAAACTTACTATCTCAGTGTCAATGGAATTCCGAATTTGTAAGAATAATCGAGCATCATCCCTTAGCCATGTCTGGCTAGTATTATTCGTTGGCGGATCTTCAGTTAGATGATTGTCTATAGAGATACTCTACAAATAAATCAGAATTGTCTTATACCAATCTAAATAATTTGAACCAACTTATGTTATGTGATTTTGGATATCACTGGAATGACATTAGTCACAACTAAATTCTTTTGCTCGTCAGCTATAGAAATAAATCACAATATCCAAATCAACGCCCCACAAGTATCCAACGAAACTAATTCCCCACACAAGAGTCCACACAAAAGCCCAAAGTAAATCACAAATGACTTAGGTCCAATAAAACCCAAGCCCAAACAAAATTATATTCCACCAACAACTTGAGCCCACCAAACAAATCAAGCCCAAAACAACTGAAGAGAAAAAAACTTACAGAGGCAGCCTTAACTCCCAAAAAACTCAGACGACGATGGAGGTGCTAGCAGTGACTACAGACGGTGCCGAAACAAGTTGCCATGACCGAATCCCAACGTTGAAAACGTCGGAATTGTGGACTCTAACCTCAGATCGCACAAGCAGGATGTGGCACCACTACCGGAAGCTCAAAACACAGCGCTGATAAACACGAGATGTTACCATTGAAGACTCCAGCTTCGGTGAACAGTGGTTCGAACTTCCACGGAGAACCACCCACCAACCACAGGTAGCGCCGGAAACGCAGAATGGCGCCGATAACACACGTGGACAACCACATGTTTGAAAAAAAAAAAATTATGGCTCTGATACCATGTATTATAGAGAGAATAGTTTCTTGATATTTTATTCATAAGAACGATCTACATATATATATACATATTGAGAAGACTATATTAGGAAAATATACTAATTAGGAATCCCTATAATTAGGCAAATCCCTACAATTAAGCCTATAATTTATTTACACTTTCTAACATATATGAATTTTTCCCATTTGCCCAATTCCCATTTTTTAAATTTTGTATGTATTGATTTGGAAAGGATATTGAATGATCAGTTTAATCCTAGGGTTATTTAAAAATATCATATAGTAAATCTTGAAATTTTATTTTGTAATGATATAGATACAAAATTTTCCTTTTTTAAAAAAAAAAAGACACATCAGTATTGCCCAACACGGCATAGCATGGGCCTATTTTTACACCTCCATTGTCGAAGCTCAAATTTAGCAAAAAATCGGTAGGTG